TTATTGATCAAAAGTAGCACTGTAATTATCTAGATCTATACTGAAATTTAGGGGAGGGAGGTATCTTCTGTGGAAGCTAGTGTCACCACAGACCATTTTACATCATCAATCCAAACTGTTCTCATAATCCTGCCTCTTGTTTAGATGAATGGGAGGAAGGTGTATTTTCTGTAACAGACCTCACTATTTACAATCTGTTAAACAAGATGCTGCTTTTACAATATCCTTTGAGTATTTTTATTCCGTTGCTTAAAAGGAAATAATGAGGGTCAGAGAGGAAATAAGAAGAAAATGTAGTATTCCTTTTCTTTCTTGTGTTTTCTTTCTTGTGATCTTTTATCAGTGTGCAATTATCCAAACATTGGATAATCTGATAGCACTGTGTTTTTAAATACAATAATAATAATACCTACTGTTGGTATTAACTTATTTTTACCTTTCTTCAAATTCTCATAGTAAGTACACTAACTACTCCAACATAACTGTAGTTTTGTTAAAAAATGCATTGCTAATCAAATTTTGTTGTTTCTCAGCTTTCTTTTAAAATTAGTGGGAGCAGCTAATGCACATTATATATTCATTTTACCTGAAAAATTATTTTTTTAAATTCAGCCATAGTACTGAAAGAATGAGGGAAGTATCTGAGAGTTTCATTTCTTTGGTCTTTTTACATTTTTAAAATAGCAAAGATAACTTGGTGTTGAAATATTGGTTTTGAAAAACTGCTTCCTTGAGGTTAAGCTTTGGTACAAAATATAGCTATTCTGTGTACTCTATACAAATCTGTAGCATTTTCTAGATCTGTCTAACTTTTATATATATATTAGCTTTTATAAAATCTCGTATCTTACATTTAGATGGCAGATTATTCATACTGAGTTAGGTAGGATCAGCATGGATCCAAGTTCTTGAATTTATCTAAATGTAAGTTTTGTAGCTTCTGCATTTTGTAATTCTGTAGTCACAAGATGATTGGACATGCAGCTTGGAGATAATTACTTACTATAGAAACAAGCAAAGGAGTCTCGTTATAAAGTTTCTTTGACCCAGATTTTTTTCAAGGTATTTAGGCATTGCTCCTTTTAGTATTGCATTGCTTAATTGATTTAGGAGCCTGTCTCACTTTTAAAAGTGACTTGGGGACTAAGGCACTTTCATTGAGACTTAGCCTCCTTTTGAAAATGGGAATTGGGCTTCTAAGTCAGTTAAATGTTACAGCGTCAAATAGAGCAACATCTGAATACCTTTAAAAATCTGGGCCTTTGTTCTTTGTATTATCCATCTCTCTGGATAGCATTTTTAAGTTAAATTCTTCTGTAATGGGCATAATGTTCATGTTCAGTTATTTTATGTATGCATATTATAAATATGTGCTTATGTAAAATGGCATACATGGCACTTTGGTATAAAGGTTTCATTAACTTGGAATGGTCACATTACTCAGGAATATGAGGAAACTGCAGGTGAGCTATGCAGGTCATCCAAATGAGTACTGATAAAACCTTTATCCTGTCATAATGTATTCTCTATATTCCACATCTGTTGCTGAAAAACAATTTTGGAGAGATTTTAAAAATTGTATTGGCACTATTTTTATTGGTGCCTCAGTTACCATGAGTCTAATTGTAAACAGCACAGAGGGAGAGGAAAAAATAAAACAAGTATGCTTAAAATGTCTATGAAATATTCTAATCTAAACTAATTTATTTACAGGAAAAACAAGTCAAAACTTTTAAGTCTGATATTTTGGGACCTTGCAAGTGCTGTGTCCCTCAATGGAAAGCTGGGAATCTCTCCCATTTCCGGCCCTGAAGGGGTTTGCAAGATATCAGACCTTAAACCCTTAAATCTGTCTCTGATTGTGGACTGAAAATTGCCCAATTTGGGTTTTGGATTAGTATAATTTTGGAAGGGATAGAGAAAATTCTATGTTAGGCTGACTTTTTAATTTCTGTTTGAAGCTGCTCAGAGTTTGAAATCTCAGTAGAAGTAGTGATGGAAATGGCAAAGTGAAGGTGAGGCGGGTGAAGATGCATGATAAATGCAGTTTATCACATGGATCTAGTCATCGTGTCTATATGTTACATACATGTGTTATATATAAATTATAGGTGGAGCTGGTAGCACTGCTCATAGTTGAGTTTAGCTAGGGTTACCATACGTCCGGTTTTTCCCGGACATGTCTGGCTTTTCGGCAATCAAACCCCCGTCCGGGGGGAATTGCCAAAAAGACGCACATGTCCGGGGAAAAATGCCGGCCGGGCACTTCCCCTCCCGCGACTGCTCAGCTCCTCCCCTGACTCTTCGGCTCTGTTTAAGAGCTGAGCGCTACGGGCTTTGGGCAGCCCCCATGCCTCCGGACCCTGCGCTGCCGGAGCCCGGGGGGGGAAGGGCCCGGCCGGGGGCGCAGGGTCCGGAGGCATGGGGGCTGCCCGAAGCCCGAGCGCTACCGGCTTCACGGTTTGCCGGGCAGCCTCCAGACCCTGCGCCCCCGGCTGGGCGCTTCCCCTCCTGGGCTCCGCTGCGCTGGGGAAGCGCTGGCCGGGGGCGCAAGGTCTGGGGGCTGCCCGGCAAACCGTGAAGCCGCTAGCGCTCGGGCAGCCCTTTTCGCGTGGCTGGGAGTGGGAGGGATGAGGGGGCGGAGTTGGGGCGGGGCTGGGGGTAGGAAATGGGCGGGGCCAGGGCCCTGTGGAGGGTCCTCTTTTTTTATTTGTTAGATATGGTAACCCTAGTTTAGCTAACATTTTCCATTGTAAGACTTTGCTTTTTAGTTGCTTATAACTTTGACAAACTGTTTTCCATGTTGTATATCTGACCCGAGGCTAAATTTGTTTGGAATGTTTCAACAAAAATAGTTCATCTATTTCCAACAATGAGATTAGGTAAAAGTACATTATACAGCCATTTCATTAAGGAAGGCCTCAAGCCTCCATACTTAGGAGAGGAGGGACATGAAACTTAGCAGAGGGGTCACTCTGGTGCATGGGATGTGCTTTTTGCAGTCCCCATAAAAATCCACCTATACTTGGTCAGGCTTGGCATCTGAAAAATGTTTGGACATGCTCAATAGAAGTTTGTGAAAGGTTGGCAGCATTATTCTCCTAAGATTTATCAGCACTGAACATGCTTCATTCCCACATGGCTTCTATGTGCTGACCAGACTGAGAATGCACCATCCCCACAAAGTGACTGAGCACAGTCCATTCCAGGGCTGCCAGGCTGAGCGAGACTTTTTCTGCAGTTGCTCTTTCCAACAACTGAGGGCCACAGTGGTGGCAGGCCTTAAAACTGAGAACAGGGAGAATGACTGTCTTATGCCCGTAAGGCTACCCCTGCTGATGCCTAGGCAGCGACAGGGAGAAGGAGTCAGACTGACTTGCTCAAATGCATAGGTGAGAGGAGAACATGGATAGATAGGGTAGTAGGTGCAGGCTGTGGGGAGATAGGAACAAGTGGGACAGGCATAGGCTGTAGGGGTGATAGAGCAGAGGAAGCAAGGATAGAAGAAAAGAGGACAGGCTGAGGCGGGACAGTAGGGTCTGTAACCACTAGAATACTCTCTTCCAGAACTTGGAATAGAATCAAGATTTCCTGAGTTCCAACATTCCTTTGCTATCAGCAAATAGCCATGAAACCCACTGGCAAAGTGTGTCTCATCTCTTTCTAATGGGTGGTCCACATAGCAGTAGAAGTATATATTAATCTTTACTAGTTGCTGAAGTGGTAGAGATCTATGCTGTGGGTATGAAAGTTCTAACCCTTCTGAAGACCCATGTATTATGTCACATGATGGAATTTTTTTTTTTTTTTTTATTTTTTTTAAAAAATAATTGGAAATAACAAAAAAAAAAAAAACTGTTACAAGAACATTATTATGTTTGCAAAGTCAAATATGCAAAAGTTAAGAAAAGCCAGAATTAAGGTTGTCTCTGGGGAGGAAAAAAGTGTGAACATGTAATTACAGACTATATCATAATGCACATTCACAGTGAGAGTGAATTAGAGTTGAACAGGAAACTTTAATTATGGCACTTTCTAATTTTTCAGGGCTTGACTTTGCAACCTTAACTTTCTTTTAATGTAGATTGTTTTTCTTTGATAAAAAAGTGTGCATAAGTAGAAAAACTCAGCACTTTATAGTTCTTAGATCTGAAAGTGCTTTACAAAAGCAGGCAAGTAATATTGCTATTTTACAGATATGTTTGTGTGCATGTATTTCAATATTAATAATTTACTCATATGTATATTATACAGACACTTGAAACCTATGTCCATATAATTTAATCTAGTAAAGACCCAAAAGATTGGAAAAAACAGTTATGCCCCTTGTAGTGGCATTTTTTATTTACAATGAAAGGAAGAGATACAATAGTAATATAAAGCTAACAAAATTATGAAGTGAACATCTACTTGATTCTCAAGATACAACAACATTTGTCTCCAAATTGCATTTCACGTCATGTAATCCAGTGGTGACACTGATTTTTCTTCCTTTCTAGTCTGGCGTGAAGTATAGCACTGCCTTGCAGTTGTTATTTATGTAAGAAAAATTTGAAGCTTGGAACTATCAACATTTTCAAATTTAGATGCTTATCTCCTATATTTAGGCACTTAAATAAAAGTGGGCTGCCTTTTTTTCCAGAGGTGCTGACACAACTCCAGTCAAAGTCAGTGGGATTGAAGGTGGTCAGAATTTTTGAAAATCAACCCAATTTTATTTAGGTATGCACATGGGATTTAGGAAGTAGGTTTGAAATCTTTGGCCTCTGTCTCAACCTCAATAATATCTTGGGGAAGAAACAATGTGTTGCCTCTGCATACATTTTAAGAACACAGTTTATGTAGCTTATCTGTCTTAATACTTGAACAAATTGTCCTTCAGGTTTCTCGGAATAAAATTAAGCATTATAATCTTTTAATGACTTACAGTAATTAGATGGTTCTCTATGCTGTTTTTCCTTGGTCAAAATTTTAACTTTTTTTTAAAAATGTATCCATAGGTAAAAACATCAGAGTTTTATCGATACTCTCGGCAGTTGCGGCATGAAGTTGACCAAGCCATGAATTACTTTCATAGTGTTCACCAACAGCCTTTGATGGAAATGAAATCCAACCGTATTCGTTCTGCCAAACCCCAGACTGCAGTATTTAGAGGAATGATAGGACACAGCATGGTAAATAGCAAAATTCTTCTCTTGCACAAACCAAGGGTCTGGTGGGAGCTAGAGGGTCCTCAAGTACCTTTACGACCAGACTGCCTTGCCATTGTCAATAACTTTGTATTCTTGTTAGGCGGGGAAGAACTGGGCCCAGATGGTGAGTTTCATGCTTCCTCCAAAGTATTTAGATACGACCCTAGACAAAATACTTGGTTGCGAATGGCAGACATGTCTGTTCCACGCTCAGAGTTTGCTGTTGGTGTTATTGGGAGATACATCTATGCGGTGGCTGGGAGAACAAGGGATGAAACATTTTACTCGACTGAACGATATGATATCACTGCAGACAAATGGGAATTTGTGGATCCCTATCCAGTCAATAAATATGGACATGAAGGAACTGTACTCAGTAACAAGTTGTATATCACTGGGGGAATTACTTCATCTTCCACTTCGAAGCAAGTGTGTGTGTTTGACCCCAGTAAAGAAGGGACGGTAGAACAGCGAACGAGGAGAACTCAAGTGGTCACTAACTGTTGGGAGAACAAATGCAAAATGAATTATGCAAGATGCTTTCACAAAATGATTTCCTATAATGGTAAGCTTTATGTCTTTGGTGGTGTTTGTGTGATCTTGAGGGCCTCCTTTGAGTCGCAAGGGTGTCCTTCTACAGAGGTTTACGACCCAGACACTGATCAGTGGACTATTTTGGCTTCTATGCCAATTGGAAGAAGTGGTCATGGTGTAGCTGTTTTGGACAAACAGATAATGGTTCTTGGAGGCCTTTGTTACAATGGTCATTACAGTGATTCAATTCTCACCTTTGATCCAGAGGAAAACAAATGGAAAGAAGATGAATACCCAAGAATGCCCTGCAAGCTGGATGGTTTACAGGTTTGCAGTCTGCACTTTCCCGAATATGTACTGGAGCATGTTAGACGTTGCAACTAAAACAAACAAACAAAAAAAACCCCTTCTAACCCCAATGAAACACAAAAAACTATCTCTAATTTGACAGGAAAACAAAGCATATTTAATTCATTTAAAGACGTTGGCTTGTATGTAAAACAGCTATTAGATGCATAGAGAAACGGGATGTACAGGGAATGCACCTACCAAGTTTATTAGAAATGCCAATAACTGTGGTCTGGTATTGTAAAAGTTTTGCTTTTTATTTTTTTTAAACAAATATTGCTGTATGTGGGGTGGAGTGGGGGGGGGGCAGAAAAATCTATTTTTCAGTGTGTTTACTTTTTTCCCCTTTTTCTTTGTGGCCTTTTATGTCCATGCAATAAGTTTATTCTGTATAATGGCCATCACAGCATCATCCTTCTTGGAACCAGTTGAATATAATGATCTACTTATGGGAAGAAGGGGGACAGAAAAATATATATTGTGCATTTTCATTAAGTGTCAAGATAGGATTCAGCAGCCTTACTGGGGGAATACCTGACTTAAACTCTATTGACAAGGGTTTCATTTTGTTCCTTTAAGTTGTGGTGGACATTTTTATTTTCTCCATTTATGAGTACTCACAGTCCAGTTCGGTATTTTTTGTTTTGTTTTTTGTTTTCCCATAAATACATTTTAAAATGATCTTAACCTTTGTGCATGGCTTTTCCCTGGATTTGTACAGTAGTATCAGTAAGTCTGCCAAAAAATGCAAGTTATACATTTTCTATTAAATTGATAATGAAGCATTTTTATATTCCAACACTATTTCTATGCTGCCTTCTATTGTCTGCATTGTGTTTGTTGGTGAGTGAGATATATACACACACATGCATACACTGTAAGATCTATATATAATGCATCTTTTTATGTGCAATTAGGATATTATATTTTTAACTAGGGCACAGATTCAGCCATATCTGTTGAATTTTAGATATAGTAGCATTCTTTCTTGAATTAAATATTACAAAATTCTTAAGTAACTGGAGGCCTAGTTTGTTATCAAAGAAGCCTATCTTTGGTATACACTGATTCATTCAGTAATATTTAAACTCTTTATATTAATAATATGTAATGAACTGTTAACAGTTTGACATTTTATATATTATTTTAAAAAAGTAAGTATATCTTACCCAGTTATAGTCCTTCACTTTTGAATGTGTTGCCTTGTTTTTAATAAAAATCAGAAATGTATCAGTAAGCAAGCATGAACACTGCACTAACATGCAGTTTTTTGTCAGACCTAGATATACTATTATTTTTAGCAATGGCATCGCTTGTAGTTGTGTTGAAGTGATGTAATCTAATATTTTTTTGAAGCATCAACTGATATGAACTGCTGTGTTCTAAAAATGTGGGGTTAGGCAATTGGGGACAATGTTTACCATTTCTGTAATCTTTAAAATAGAAACCTACAAAACTATAGCTACTGACCTCATACTTCCTGAAATAAGACTTGTGATCCAAGAGGGCTTGAATAACTGCACCATGTTTGAGCACTTTGTTAACTTGTTGACTTTTACTGACTGTAGATTGGTGAGACTATCCACCAAGATAAACACAATTATAAAAGTAAAGCATTAAAATCCTAGTTCTTTCACACTGGTGTGAAATTAGCCTCTTCTGGAGTCAAGAGGGAAAAGATTTCCTCTCTAAAATTTGAGGCCAACACTGAGCTCAAATATGCAGGGACAAACTGCTGAGATATAAGCTTGCAAAATCATCTGCTTACGTGAAACTCTGTAGCATTAGATTTTACAAGATATGCAGTAATGGTTGAGAATCCATTTCTGTTTCTGCATCTCCCAGCCAGAAGTCACTGTAGAAACGAAATGTACAGTACTCAGGGAGTTCAAAAGAATGCACTTATAAGGGACCAAATACACCCTACATTTGCTATGATAAATGGTAACAAGTTTGTTTGGCTAAACAAAATTAGAAATTAATAATGGATATTAAAATGTTTTGCGAAATGCACCATGCTCACATTTAATGGTATCTTTGTTTTCTTGCAGTAATGTTCTTTCAAATTCTGGATTGAGAGAGATGGGAGGACATGGAGTTATATTGCAAGTTAGCAGATTTTATTTCTTTAATTAGCAATAATATAGCAAAGCAGAGTTGATTACTGTAATCTTTGATCAAAAGAGAGAATTTACACCACCATAGCTGGAATGATAAAGGATGTCTAAGCCAGAGATGGCTGGACCAAATGTTCACATTCAGCCTTCTGGTGCAGACCACAGGTTGCAGTTCAATGTAATTCTTTGCTTATTATTTTCCTATATTTTTCAATTTACAAGTACAGAATTTAATTTGTTTTATTTTAGTAATCTGAACTACAATCTTTTTGATATAAGACAAGGCACCAACCTTGCCATGAGATGTGTGCAGATGGATCCCTGCAGCCAGGTGGGGCACCGTTGACTTTGATGGGCCCTGCTCAGGTTCAGGGCTTCTGTGTTTGTATATTTCATTGCAGAATCAGGGTTCAAGACAAGTTACCTTATTTTTACTCCTGTTTTGCTCTTTTTGTTAGTAGCCCATTTTCTGGCATGTTATGTGAATGGGGCAGCAAAGATTAGTAGTCCTGCTGTCTAGGTAGGCTTATGCAAGCCTATCATGAGTAATATTGAGCATTTCACCCTGCTATCTAGGGGTGAGCTGGGGAACCATTGTTGATCTGGAAATTTGGTCTTCCATGATTTAAGTATAACAGGTTAAAGAGAGAAGGCCAAGATTTTACAAAAATGGGTGTCTAAAGTTATGTTCCTAAATCTGTACTTCAGCACCTACGTAAGTGACCTGATTTTTCTAAAGTACTGAACACCCAGCAGCTCCCACTAAAGGGAAAGGGAATGCTGGATGCTTGGTACTCTTGAAAACAAGGCTAGTTATTTAGGTGCCTATGCCCCCTTTAACTTCAGGAACCCAGTTTTAAAAATCTTGTTTAAGGCCTGTAATACTAGTTACTTTGTGAAATTCTAACTTGAACTAATTATTGGTTTCAGCTTCAGCTGATGTGTTGGCCGTAACCATTTTGAGCATTAAGAATTATTGGAATTTGCTTGGTTCATAATGTCTGGGAGGCTGGGAATGTTTTGTAATGTACATTTCTACCATGCTCATTATTTCAGTCAATAAATACATAATTAATCCACATTATCTATAAATTGTGATGTAGCTTTTGAAAAAAAAAATGTTACATTTTTGAGATAGCTTAGAGGGATGTTTTCTTTTTCACTAAACCATTTTGTGTGCATTTGCCTTTAGTAGCTATGCTCCCTAGTCAGTGTTTAAACAACAAACCAACCGAACAAAAAATCAAGGCTAGCTAATCAGAGACTTGCATATCACCTATGAGATCTTTTGAATACGATTATTATATTAACTCGAGGATTTTTTACCACTTAAATGTACCCCTAGTTAATGAGGAAAAAGGTAAACCCTAACCCTTTATAGTAAGTTTGCTCGTTTATCTCCCCCATTCCTTTTTTTTACTTTTTAAAACTTGGCACACAGCCTGCTTTTAAACAGCAACAGTACTCATGTTGTAAAAAGGGATAGACATACTTAGTCCAATCTCTGTTTCTCAGTTTGAAAAAAAAGTTAGTGTTGGGTTCTTGTCTAGCTATCTCGGTTTCCTTCCTGGTCCTAAGAGGAACCCTGTTTCCTTGTTAGGGGCCAGAAGCTGCAGAGTGCTGAGCACTTCATGAAATGTGCTGAGCACCATCAGTTCCCATTGGAAGCCCAGCATGCTCAATACCTTGCCAGTTCAGGCAGATTTGCAAAAGAACTCAGCACCTATTTAAGCACCAAAGTAAGTGGCCAGATTTTCAAAATTAAGCCATTCGCACTGGGTGCGTTGAGCACTTTTGAAAGTCTGGCTGTATAGATTCAGCTGGAGGGAGGCAGCTACTATTTCAGAAAGCTCACTAGCCTCAGGGACCTGTGGCAATTCAAGGCCTGATGATTTGCTGTCTACTTCCATATGCTTTATGCCATTGGAAAACAGAATCCCTGCTTTTCAGTGATATATAGCAGTCAGTAATTCCTAGTCCTGGTGGTTTGTGACTTTAACACTCTCGGAGTATGTCTACGCAGGGATAAAAGACCCATAGCATGGCCGCAGCTAGCCCAGGTCAGCTGACTCGGGGTCAGGCTGCGGGGCTAAAAATCATGGTATAGACATCTGGGCTCAGGATGAAGCCCGAGCTCTAGGACCTTCCACTCTACACAGAGATTTTGTTCAGCCCTGGAACCTGAGCCCCGCAAGTCCAAGTCAGCTGAACTGGGCCAGCTGTGAGGTTTTTTTTTATCCCTGCATAGACATACCGTTTGGCCCCTGAGACTTGCAGTCCTGTTGTCTTGCTCTTGAGACCTTTTTTCTGCAGCAGCAAATGCTGCCTTTTTACTGATACTATAATAATCATCCACATCATAGATGGAGCTTCTCCGTACACTCACGAAGCAAAGGATTAAACAAGTACAAATTAAATTAGGTTAAAAACCATACATATACCAATACTGGTCTTTAACTCAACGTGACCACTTCTTCATAAAGTGAGGGTTGGCTTGAGGGTATATCAGCTGCTCTTTCTGAAATACACAATTCTGCACCTTATGTCTTTTGTTTCATAAAGGACTAACTGAAGAAAAATCATGCATTTTTAAAATAGGAATGTCATTTACAGGAATGTTTTGCCTTTATTGAAATATTTTTTTCTTGACCAAAAAAAAATAGGGAATTGGGCTCCAATTCTTCAGACATGGGCATGTTTTTAGCTTTACATAGATGAGTTGTCCATTGAAATAAAATGAAAAGCTGTGCCAACTATTTAAAAGTCTATTCACATGTAAAGTTAAGTGTGTGCTAAAATGTCGGTAGGATTGGGGCCTTAGAGAAAACTTGCTTTCTCCCCACCTCTATCCAATATAGTACCTTGTGAATTTATTCTAATAAGCATGTTATGTCACAGTTGCAACACTCACTCAAGTAGTGTGGAAAGGGTAAAGAAGGAAACACAAAAGGAAAGAGATGTCAGCTATGTAAAACTAAGTTTACCAATGTTTTATAAGTAACAATTTGAGATTTTAATGTTTGTAAGACAATCTGAAAATGTTTAAAATAAACACTAGTGACTACTTTTGTTATGGCATCTGTATTTTATTTTTCTTGGATTGCTAAATAATCTACAATTTCAGCATGTGTAAGATGTTAAAATAAGTACATACTGTGTTTGAAGTAAACCTAAAGAAATTATGTTGATGGCATCTGTAATCTTAACAAAATATAGTACTGTTAAACAGCTGGCAGAAAAATAGACTGTTGAGCACTGCTTCCCTGGACTTCCCCTCTCCCCAAATTTCAGTTCACGTTTCTGTGCTTTTTAAAAAAGTTTTAAGGATCAAATTCAAATAATATTTAGATTATAATTGAGTTGGTAGCTGGGGAAAACCACTTTCTACTTGCAAGTGCTATTCCTTATATAGTGCACGGGGGGGAAGAAAGATTGGTGTAAGCATAAAAAATGAAATGTTACATAGAACTGCAGTGGTAGCTATATTTTATAGAAGGTTTTTATTTCTTCAGTGAACCCACCTAACTAACATTTAATGCAGGTTATGGGACTAGATGGAGGGAATAGCAAACCTCCCAGTCTGATTTTCTCTTTTCCTATGTATTATTTTGCAGAGCTTTAAAAAATGAATTCTCATAAGTTGAAGAATGTAATTCCACTGTAGTTTCATTACTTTCCAGTCCTGTTTGAGATGGTTGTGTTTTGAAAAGAATGTTTCTGTAAGTTAATGGAAAGTTATTTGCAAATTCTTCTGTGTGTGCTGTAGCAATTGGAAGTATTCTGCCTATTTAAAAACAAATATAGAGAGTTTTTATGTATGTTTTTGGTTAATTGTCTAATATTCACCCCAAGGCTGCTATAACATTCTTAGAATAATTTAAGGTTTGCCTTTTATAACTATTTTAAAAAGCCTTTGGTTTTTGGCAGAAGGTAACTTTTCCTAGCTATGGATACAATATGTTCAGACATGTGTATGTGCTCTGTTCTGTTTTTAAACTGAAAAAATGTATAAAGTGTGTATAAGAAAAGTGTAAATAAAATATTTTTCATCTTTAAGCACACAGTTGCGTAATCTCTGCAATATCTAAATGCAGTATACCCGGAGATCTTTTTTTTTGCACACAAGACTTATGGATCCAACTGGGTAAGTACTATCTTAAAAAAAAAAAAAAAAAAGAGAGAGGAAAATGCAATTCACAAAGCTGTATTAACACCCTAAGAAGTTTCAATAAGTCAAGTTGGATAGGTTTGTACAGAGTACAGGCGTTGCCTTTTGACAATTTTTTTATAATTCTCCCCTTTCAAATCCCCCCCACAACCCAAGACGTACTCCAGTGTGTTCATGTGCTCTAGGGCCTAGTCTAATCCCCATTTGAGACAATAGTGCCTTTCAGTTGACTTCAGTAGGCACTGGATCAGGCCTCTACTGTGTCAAAAGCTCTCCCAGTTCAGACCAGCTTTTTCAAGTGTAGACTAATGTGTCTTCCATAGTTGCTGTTTCCTCATCCCAGATTGCTCCTGTAGGGTGTGACTGCTGAAATTTTCTAGAACCCAGCTCTCTTGTCTGTCATCATGGCTCATTATTGCCTTTGGGGTTTTTTGTTTAGACAAAAATTGTATCCTGGGTTTGGACAATATACAGGAATCTATCCGAATAAGATATATTGAACAACAATATCTAAAAAGAGTTATCAAGGACTACATTTGTAACTAAATGTCTAGACCTGTAAGTACTTTAATAACTTAAAAAAATAAAGAAATAAATAAAGCCAACCTGGATATTCAAACCAGAGGCCAAGAGGGGAAGAGAATCTATCACCTAACAATGTTCTTAGTTATCAATATGCTCAGTCTGGTTTAGGATACCAAGCTTTTGGAGCCCCAAAGATCACAGAGGTCTAATTGATTTAAAAGAACTGAAGATTTTCCATCAGCAATATTCCATGTACATTTCAGCATTAATTTAATAAATTTGTTAAAGTAGGTCAATGTTCTGTCAGTGTTGGAAAATAAGGATCAAAATTTACTTTACTAAAAATAAAGATCATGGTCTTGCCATTTTGTCTGCTCGGGTAGCCTGATTAGGGGCCTTCCCTGTCAGTCTTGTTCACTTCACTTTCCAAACCTTATCTCTCCCTGTCCAAAACCAAAACAAACCCCACAGTATTTTACCAGACTCTGTTCAACTCCTTTTTTTGTCTGTGGACCTTCTGTTTGCCCCCTTTCCTTTCTCCTCATCCTTCTTTTTCATCTTAACTTTTTCCATTTTAATTTTTCCGATGTTCCTCCCTTGGATCTTTCATGTCATGCTGCCACTTTTAGATATCTGAATTGCCTTTTAAGGAGGGCACGCTCCTGTTTGTGACTGACATGTACCAGGATGAACTCTCCCTTTCTCTTTAGCTTTACTCTCTCCTACCCTCTTGGGATTTATTCTTCCCCTTTTGTCTTATCCCACTCATTTCTTAATTTCATTCTGCCTGCTAGTCTCATTCAGCTACTTGGTATATTTACCTTACTGCAGCAGCTCAGTAGATGTAGCCCCAATCTCCAGTACAATAAAGTGCAGTGTCTGAACTTAATGCTGCTTTTCCTCTCTTCTATACAGTACTTCACACTCATGACCAGTATTTATTCCCTACCTGCTACTTGGGAATACTCCATGCTATTCCAAAACCACCCAATCTGGTCCATCAGCAATTCTTATGATTAGCACTCTGTTTCCCACTCCATGTATGTTATACATAAAGTAGGAAAGGGAGCTACAGCCCCAAAGAGCATTTCAGCTCTCTACCTTAGGCTGTGGGTGCTGCCCTGCCCAATGCACCTATGGGCACCTATTTATCCCCACTGATCTGTTTTGCATTGATAAACTAGAATGAAGTGAGATTGTAAGAGAAACTCAAAGGATTGTGTTGTCTGACCAACATAGCAAGGTTAATTTATGTTCCTCAAGGACTGCTAAGCCGTATAAAGACAATCTTGATAACACGTATTAGTCAGGGATTTCCAGAAATGCTGAGCAAATATCAAGAAACAATAATAGAAATGTTCCATTTGTAGGAAACTCATATTTGATAAGTTTGTATATACAATTGTCAGCTCTCTTCCTCTCTCCATATCACGCTGTGCTTTATCAGGGGCATCATTACTTGTCTCCTTTATTTAAATAGATGGGATATTACACCTTTGCATGTGTCTTTCTCGTT